CGTGGAACATGAAACATGTATGCAACTGAAAGTGAATGCTGCAAGCCCAACGTTGTGGACTTCTGCAACCTAGTGTCGTCCTCCGATGATTGTCGTCACTCCCTGTCCACTAAGCTCTACTAGTTTCTTCACAAATCGCAATGGCCTAGTAACAACGCCACGAACAATTAATGGATGTGAAATCCATAGAGAATCAAGAAAAGTAAGTGATTATAAGAAGCATAGTAAGTGATTATAAGAAGCATGATTAGAAATAATATTTACAGAGACAATGTTTTGTGCTGCGTTTCGTATAAGAAGAGGGTTTGATACTGTAGAGAAAGAAATGTCATGTTTACAGTACAAGCTTTGTACATGGTAATCATGATCCGTAATTAGTATAAGTGTAGAACTAATTATGAAACCTGACCGGTTTGGTTTCAGTCACGTGGAGATCATGTCTCAGTCTCTCTGAAACTCACCCATATGCGTGTGCCATATGATTGTTTTGGTGGCATCCAAAGGTTCACCAAATATTTGGTTGTATCCGATCCAACATCTAACGTCATCTATGGTATTGGAATTGCTCTAACTACCTGATTAATCACAAGCATTATCATTCATCATTTAATTTGCACCTCAAAACTCAAAAGAAAAGATAATCTTTGTCTATGTCTGGAATGCAAAAATTTTAGGGTTGATTTTTACCTTAGAGAATATGGACGAATTTGAAATTTGATTAGAACTCTTTGAAATTCACATCATGTTTTTTAATTCATTAAATCTTTCAAATTTCCTTTCCTTCAAAAATGTTATTCCAATTTTATTTCCATAGAAGCATCGTCCAGGAAGGATTTTCCCTTCAAGTAGGTCTCAGCTTGCACGATCTTCTATGGCTCATCTTAGCTCCAAGCCCAACCTTCTCGACTTCTGCAATCGAGTTTCGTCCTCCGATTATTGTCGTCACTCCCTGACCACTAAGCTGTACCAGTTTCTTCGCAATGGCCTAGTCACAACACCACCAACAATTGATGGATGTAGAATCCATAGAGAATTAAGATTAGTAAGTGATTATAATAAGCAAGACTAGAAATAGTATTTAGAGAGATAAAGTTTTGTGTTGTCCTTCGTATAACATGAGAGTTTGATCCCTCCCGAGAAAGAATTGTCATTCTTACCGTACAAGCTTCGTACATGCTAATCATGATCCGTAATTAGTAGAAGTGTGGGAGTAATTATGAGATGTGACCAGTTGGAGAAGAATTGGTTTGATAGCACAGAAAGAATATTCTAATGGCTTGTCATTATATTGATGCAAGAACGAACATGTAGTTTATATTCAAGGATAAAATCACGTACCCAAAAATTATCACAAAAATAAAATGTGACTTTAGTCCAGTTCCCTAGAAATCTACTTCATTTTTGTAGTAAGTTTGTGCACTAACAGGGAAGCCAAAGGCCTCAGTAGCAGCGACGCATGCTTCACGCCGTGTCAACCAACCTGTTCCAGCGCCAAACGGAAGTCTGCCTCTTTCAAGTGGTCTGATAAGGCTGCTAGAACCTATGTTTAAAAAATTCAAAACCAATCCAATAACGTATCCGAAATAAAAACAGTCCTAAAACAAGGTACTATAAATTTGGTTTAGGAAACAAATCTACTATATATATAAAAGTTGATGGAAAAATCAGCTCCAATTGCACTCATCAATTTTCCCGCCAAAAATTCTGATCGTATGGCTAAGATTACTTGGATACACATGGCACATCCACATTAAATCTAAACCAGAAACATATACATGCACTTATGGACAAAAGTGTACTGACAAACAACTGATACTGCCACTGCCTGAATTACAACTCTGCCCCAATTTCATAATAGCTTCAGCCCAATGAATCAGTCACTGCCCCAATTTAATTTCTTTGAATCTTCAGAATTGTCACTTGAGGTGTTCCTCCAATATCAGGATATGCCATCTCAAAAGCCATTTCAAAATCAGAAAAAATCAATGTGTAATGCCCATTTCAAAGCTACTGCAAAGAGGCTCATATATTCACTATATACATACATACATATATATATATATATATATATATATATATATATATATATATATATATTCATTACAAGGAAATATAATAATTACGCCATGGCTGCTTCTGGCCGAGCTGATAACCACGCCAAGTTACGTATTACTCCCTTAATTTCACTAATCAAAATAAAAAAACTTTTTAAAGCAATCATCACAGCCTCTTTGTTATTCACATTATTCCAGCATCACAGACAACCCAGGGAAAAATACAATCAGAAGTGCCCAAAAATCCTGATATCATGAGCTTACTGACCTAGGGCAAGAGAGTATCCTCTAAGCATTTCAAATAATGTAATAAAAAGGGCCTCACAACCAAAATTTTACTACTATGAACGTTTGAAATGAGCATTATGTAATTCCAGTATAAGGCCCACACATAAAAGCTGATGGAGAAATCAGTTTCCATTGGAGAAATGTACAATCAGAAAAAAACAGAAAAACCAATCTTTTTCAGAATTATAGCAGTCTGCCTAAGAGAAATATACAATCAGAAAAAAACAAACACAGGTATATTTTTCAGAATTATAGCAGTGTGTTTAAGTGCAGAAATATATAAAATCACTCCTTGACAAAACCAAGGTATCATTTTCAGTACATGGCATCTAATCCACTATATAAAACCAAGCCAGAGTAGTTCACAAATGCCCATTTCGATGAGGTATTATAAAGAGGCTCAGATTTTCACAATTTAAATACTCATTACAAGGAAAAAGTTTGATATAACGTCATGGCTGCTTCTGGCTAGGCCGTAGCCACGCCAAGATATGTTTTATTTCCTTAATTTCAAAAAACCAAAAATGGTAAAACATATAAAATAAATCATCACAGCCTCATAATTTTTCAAAGTATACCATTTTAGGGGCACAATTTTACAGAGTATACCATTGCCTTATAAAGAGGATGAAATCAATAAAGTGGAAAAGCTATAACTATCTTTATAAGGGCAGAATTAGAGGATAATGTATTGTCGGGAAGATTACCATTTGAAGCTTATATAAAGAAGCTCAGATATTCACTATTTAGATAATCATTTTAAGAAAAAGGTTATGATAACGCCATGGCTGCTCCTGCCATCCATGGAGCCACGTCAAGATACGGATCAATTTCCTTAATTTCAGTATGCTCATTAAGAGTAAATATATAGTGTATCATCATAGCCTCAAAAGTCTACAACTAAATCCAGCTTCATACCCATAGTATACCATTGCTGCAAAAATACATTAAAATCACTTAATTACAAGACAAAGAATGTAACTTGGTCCCATTAGCACATGTCAATTACCCATTACAAGTGGTAAACACCAAATCAGTCTGTTCCAGCANCACGGCAAGGTCAAAATACCTTGGTGAGGCATGAGTGTGACACTTCATCTTTCCTTTTTCATTTTTTTAAATAATTTTTTTAAAATTTTTTATGAAAAAAAATGTAGAAGAAAATAGAATACTTTTTTAATAAAATAAATAATAAAAATATTTTTTTAAGTTTAATAAACATAAAAAAATGTAAAAAAATAATAAAAAAATAATGACTTGCCATTGTAGAACTTACCACTCCATGCACTTGCCACACGCTGACTCGACTATTTTTGATTGGCTAAAATGTTCCATGTCACCGTGTGGCATTCCATTTTTGCCTTGCCATTGTTCATGCTCTAAGGAGGATGATCTTATTAATTTTTCAATTGTGAAAGAATCGAAAGAATACTTTATTTTTTATTTGAATGAACATTTCCTAACTTGAGAACGAGTATTGTTTTTTTAAGAATGAATACTACTTTATTTTTTATAATTATATTAGACAAATGTGTAAAAATGAGAACTGCTTTATATTAAAAATTAGTACTACCTTATTTTAGAATGAGTACTACGTATTTCGAAATAAATATTTATATTTGTACGAGAATGAGTACTGCTTTACTTTAGAATAGGTACTACCGAAATGTAACTAACTCTAAGTGTGTGTGTGTGTGTGTGTGTATATGCTATGTATGTAAAAAATACGATGTAGTAAAGGTGTGGATGAGGATGAGAAAGGTGATGCAGTAAAAAATACGAAGGCTATGTAGGCTATGAATGTAAAAAAAAGAGTTATACCAAAAGCAATTTTCAGAACGCCTAAAAAGTGATTAGAATTGGGGTGTCCAAAACGAAATTCATTTTTATTTTTTAATTTCATTTCTTATTTCTTGAAGCTCTCAAAAAAAGATGCTACTTTTTTTTCAAAAAACAAAAAACAAAAATATTAACTTCAGACGTACAGATGTAGTATATGTTATCTTTTTTTTTTGAAAAAAATAATTGTAAATTTTAATAACATCATAAAAGAAATTAATAAAAGAAACAAATAAAGGAAAAAAATGGAAAAAAAAAATAAATGAAAAATAAGAAATGACCGACAGTGCCCCATGTGGTTTGGAAAATAGGCACCAATGTCCCCTCTTCGCCGGAAACTCGGAAAGATGCCCGGAAAATGATCATAGAGGATCAGGGGATATGGATGCAAGGTTTTGAAACCACGGATGCTATTGAAATAAGCTTTGAAAAGAGAAAGGATATTAGTGTCTCTTTTCATACCACGTAGGATACTGATGCAATTTGATCGAGGTATGTATACCTTCCATTATAAAAAGGCTTAAATATGCAATTCAATTCTATTTAGTCCGTGCTCAAAGTTTATATGCTCAACCAATACACGTCGAAAATTTTAAAAGGTTGCATTTTATACACGTCAAACATTTTAGTCCGTGCTCGAAGTTTTTATTTTAACCCAATATTAGGCTCCGTTCCGTTCAACTTATTTCTTCTAATCTGATCTGTTTTTTTGTAGCTATGATCTGATTGGATCTGATCTGATTAGATTTGATCTGATTAGATTTGATCTGATCTGATTTTAATAAGAATAAGAAAAAAAGGAGAAAAAAATAAATTGAACGGAATGAGGTCTTAGGGGCTGTTTGGCAACTTCTGAATGGGTAAGTGCTGAACCAGTAAGAGGTCTGAACCATTAAGTGCTGAACCAGTAAGAAGTCTGAACCATTAAGAGCTAGTATATTGCTTAACTATTCAGAGGCAAATGTCTGATCAATTCAGATAAGAGGTCTTAACCATTCAGAGGCAAATCTCTTAACCATTCAGACATCTGAACCATTAAGAGGCTGAAACAAACAGTCTGAACCATTAAGTGCTGAACCATTCAGACATCTGAACCATTAAGAGGCTGAAACAAACAGCCCCTTAGTCATTTGAAACGGGTGTCTCTATAATAAATTAATTACTCGTGCACTAAAAAAAGTTCATTAATTACACTAATTAATGTTTGAAACTTGAGTGTAAATTGAGCATTTAAGTCTCCCATATCTCTGCTCTGCAAATAAGATCGTCAATCATTGAACATTGTTGAAATTTAGGGCTCATTTGGCTATGTTTACGAAATGCAACCCTATCATTTCTGTCAATTATCATTACAAACTTTATCGTTATTAGAGTAAAGTCTTTAAAAAAAATTGATAACCAGATCTTAGAACTTAATTACTAGAACCTAGGTTGAAAGCATGATAATAGAGAAAACGATGGGTGTATACAAATCAAATACTTATAATTCGATTCGTAATTTGTATTCGAATACATTGATTCGAATTGGATTTAACCGAATTCAAATTCGAATCCGATTTTACTGTTTGAATATAATCAAATACGAATACGAATCTTAGCATATCCAATTCGTTAAGAATTCAAATTATTCGAATAATACCAATATATACTTAGTATATATTTATATTTAATTATATTCTTTGTATACGAAGTACTTTTTATGAATATATTATACATTACTTATATATGTAGGGAAAATATGATAAACTGTCTAGATCTTCTATTTGAATTTGTGAATTTTTTAGTTTATGTTACGGAGTAGTTCTTAAAAGTAAATAACTACTCTTTTTACTTATGATTTTTGTAAAGTAAAAATTTGTTCTATTTTCGAATACAAATATTCGAATACAAAGTCGAATATTTGAAATATGAGCTCAAATCAAATACAAACCTTTTTTAAAATTCCAATTATTAACGAATTTGAACTCGAATACATACCATCCCAAACAAATACGAAGCGAATATATGGATACTTGTAAGCCTAAGAGTAGACCTTGCCCATGCTATTCCTTGCACTGCCACATCAGCTTTTTTCACGGCAAGGTCAAAATACCTTGGTGAGGCATGAGTGTGACACTTCATCTTTCCTTTTTCATTTTTTTAAATAATTTTTTTAAAATTTTTTATGAAAAAAAATGTAGAAGAAAATAGAATACTTTTTTAATAAAATAAATAATAAAAATATTTTTTTAAGTTTAATAAACATAAAAAAATGTAAAAAAATAATAAAAAAATAATGACTTGCCATTGTAGAACTTACCACTCCATGCACTTGCCACACGCTGACTCGACTATTTTTGATTGGCTAAAATGTTCCATGTCACCGTGTGGCATTCCATTTTTGCCTTGTCATTGTTCATGCTCTAAGGAGGATGATCTTATTAATTTTTCAATTGTGAAAGAATCGAAAGAATACTTTATTTTTTATTTGAATGAACATTTCCTAACTTGAGAATGAGTATTGTTTTTTTAAGAATGAATACTACTTTATTTTTTATAATTATATTAGACAAATGTATAAAAATGAGAACTTCTTTATATTAAAAATTAGTACTACCTTATTTCAGAATGAGTACTACGTATTTCGAAATGAATATTTATATTTGTACGAGAATGAGTACTGCTTTACTTTAGAATAGGTACTACCGAAATGTAACTAACTCTAAGTGTGTGTGTGTGTGTCTATATATATATATATATATATATATATATATATATATATATATATATATATATATATATATATATATATATATAGGCTATGTATGTAAAAAAAATACGATGTAGTATGTAGTAAAGGTGTGGATGAGGATGAGAAAGGTGATGCAGTAAAAAATACGAAGGCTATGTAAGCTATGTATGTAAAAAAAGAGTTATACCAAAAGCAATTTTCAGAACGCCTAAAAAGTGATTAGAATTGGGGTGTCCAAAACGAAATTCATTTTTATTTTTTAATTTTATTTCTTATTTCTTGAAGCTCTCATAAAAAGATGCTACTTTTTTTTTTCAAAAAACAAAAAACAAAAATATTAACTTCAGACGTACAGATGTAGTATAGGTTATATTTTTTTTTTGAAAAAAAAATAATTGTAAATTTTAATAACATCATAAAAGAAATTAAAAAGAGATTTTAAAAAATTTGATTAATAAAAGAAACAAATAAAGGAAAAAAATGGAAAACAAAAAATAAATGAAAAATAAGAAATAACCGACAGTGCCCCATGTGGTTTGGAAAATAGACACCAATGTCCCCTCTTCGCCGGAAACTCAGAAAGATGGCCGGAAAATGATCATAGAGGATCAGGGGATATGGATGCAAGGTTTTGAAACCACGGAGGCTATTGAAATAAGCATTGAAAAGAGAAAGGATATTAGTGTCTTTTTTCATACCACGTAGGATACTGATGCAATTTGATCGGTGTATGTATACCTTCCATAATAAAAAGGCTTAAATATGCAATTCAATTCTATTTAGTCCGTGCTCAAAGTTTATATGCTCAACCAATATTATGATACACGTCGAAAATTTTAAAAGGTTGCATTTTATACACGTCAAACATTTTAGTCCGTGCTCGAAGTTTTTATTTTAACCCAATATTAGGCTTCGTTCCGTTCAACTTATTTCTTCTAATCTGATCTGTTTTTTTGTAGCTATTATCTGATTGGATCTGATCTGATTAGATATGATCTGATTAGATTTGATCTGATCTGATTTTAATAAGAATAAGAAAAAAAGGAGAAAAAAATAAGTTGAACGGAACGAGGTCTTAGTCATTTGAAACGGGGGTCTCTATAATAAATTAATTACCCGTGCACTAAAAAAAAGTTCATTAATTACACTAATTAATGTTTGAAATTTGAGTGTAAATTGAGCAGTTAAGTGTCCGTTCCGTAGGACTTATTTTTTCTACTTATTACTTATTCTTATTAAAATCAGATCAGATCAGACATGATCTAATCAGATCAGATCAGATCTAATCACATCAGATCAGACCCAATCAGATCAGATCAGACTCAACCAGATCAGATCAAACTCAATCAGATCAGACCAGATTCAATCAGATCAGATCCAATCAGATCAGATCAGAATCAATCAGATCAGACCAGATCTAATCACATCAGATCAGACCAGATCAAATCCAATAATATCAAATTAAGAAAAAAATATAAAATATAATATTTATATTGTTCAAAGATTAAATAATAATTACTATTATTTGATTAAATTACATTACTTTATTTAAAATTATACACACCTAAATCTCAATTAATATTACAATTTTAAATATTATTCTTGTAATAATAATAATAATAATAATAATAATAATAATATTATTATTATTATCAGTATTATTATTATTATTATTACTATTATTATTATTATTATTATTATTATTATTATTATTATATTTCAACTACAAACCATTATTATATATAATTGTTTAGCTTGTAGGATACAAATGATGCATGGAAGCAATGTAAAAGCTTAAAAAGTTTTATTTTTCATACTTTAAAAATAGATATTTTAAAACACTTGTTTATAAAATAATTACAGCATACAAAACTTAGTTTTCAAAGCTATAAATATTTTATACTTAAAAAGACTTACTTTTAAACTTTAAAATGGTATAATATACTCAAGGATGAGTTTATGACAAAATTGAAAGAGGTGAAAGTGATAATAGTGTTTAAAAAAGTTTAAACATATTAATGATTAGCTGATTTTCTTATTTTACTTTTTTATGTATATGTTAATTTTAATATTTTAAAACTATTAAATTTTGTAATAATTTTAATTTTAATTTAAATCAGATTTAAATTAATTTACACCGGATCTAATTAGAGAAAATCAAATTTAATCAGATCAGATCAGATTCAATCAAATCAGATCAGATTCAATCAGATCAGATCAGATCCAATCAGATCAGATCAGACCCAACCAGATCAAATCAGACCCAATCATATCAGATCAGATCTAATCAGATCAGATCAGATCCAATCAGATCAGATCAGACCCAATCAGATCAGATAAGACCCAATCAGATCAGATCAGATCAGAACTTCAAAAATTCAGATCAGATTCAATCAGATCAGGCGTACGAAACAGAGCCTAAGGGGGTGTTTGTTTTTTCTGCGGGAAAAGGTCTGCAGTCTGCGGACCACTACTGTAGACATCTGCAGGAGAAGTGGTGGACCGAAGGTCTGCGGTCTGCAAGAAGAAGACTGTTTGTTTTTTAATGTCTATACATTGCTATATAAATTAATAGTAGTAGTGTACGGTAGTGGTGTATGGACGATTGTGGTGGTGGTGGAGGGTGGT